ACTTAGAATACTCTTCTGGAATATAAAAGCCTTCATAGTTCACAGTTATAGCACAGAACCATACATCTATGTCCTAAATGCTGTATCTCCACCCCCAACCCTGCCCAAAGCTTAAAGGTCATCAAGATCTTCTGTTGGGGAACAAAACTCCAGTGTGTTTTCTTACCTGATCAGATGCATCATCTCACACCCCTTCTCCCCATGATTTCTCCTACCTTCTTGCTGTTCCAGCCACTCCTGTAGGCTTAAATTTTGTTGTTTTATCTTTTTACTAAGTATCTAGCTAAAAGGATTTTCTTGGACCTAAAGGACTAAAGTGGTATCCTTAAAGGAGATAAAAAGTCCAGAAGCTGGCTTAAGTGTCCAGTAAGAAATCACTTATTCTGGCAGAGAGAGGGAAGAATTGCCTTGGTAAGGGTCACCTAGGAATTCTCTTCGATTAAACAGCCTTCTACTTTGTGCCATGGTCTCTGTGTTACATGGGCTGTTCATCTGTGGGTAATAGCCAACTCGCAATGGACTGTTGCTGCTATTAATCTTTTTTTAAAGAAAGAAAATGACGCCCATAATAACCTGTTTGAAAAAACTCCTTTGTGGCCCATCATTATTTATTCTGGCTGCAGAACCATGAGTGCAGTGTATAGCTGTACGTAAAACTTTCTTACTGCTACAGAACGGATTGACTGCAGTGAAATAACCTGAGATGTGTTTCTGTGTTTCATTGTGGAAGGTATACTTAGAATTTCCTGTATTTATCCCTCTATAAATACCATACCCATCACAAACGTACGGTAGGTGAGAGGCACGGTAATGACTCTGCAAAGACCAATGCTGGTTTAAATTTAATAGTGAGCAAGAATAAATAAGTGAATATTGCAACTTCCAACATTAAATACATTCAACATTAATGCAAGTTAACCTCAAAAGGAGAAGGAGAATTAATTAGACACCTTAGGTGAAATAGACAAATTCCTAGAAAGACACACCCTAACTCAAGAAGAAATAGGAACTCTGACTCAATCTATAAGGAGTGAAGACATTTAAACAGTAATTAAAAATATTCCTACTGGGGCCGGCCCAGTGGCGCACTGCGCTAGTGCGCCGCTTGGGAAGCGCGGCGGTGCTCCCGTCGAGGGTTCGGATCCCACATACAGACCGGTTCCTGCTCACTGGCTGAGCGAGGCGCGGGGGCAACACCGAGGGTTGCGATCCCGTTGCCAGTCCCGGTCTGGTACGGGGGCGACACTGAGGGTTGCGAACCATTGCCAGACACGGAAAAAGACAAAAAAGAAAAAAAAAATATTCCTACAAAGAAAACTCTAGGGCCAGATGCCTTCACTGGTGAATTTTATTAAATATTTAGAGAAGGGATAGTACTTATCCTTGACATATTCTTTTCAGAAAAGGGAGGAGGGGGGAAACATTTTCCAACTCAGTCCTTGAGGCCAGTGTGACTCTGTTGCAAAGCCAAAGATATCACAAGAAAGGAAAACTACAGATAGATATCCCTCATGAACACAGAGGCCAAAATATTAGCAAACAATAAAGACAAAACAAACATATAAAAAGGATTATACACCATGATCATGTTGGATTTATCCCAGGAATGCAAGATGGGTTAAACATCCAAACATCAATTAATATAATTGCATCATTTTCCAACACCCATAATAGTCCAACACCAACTGGGTGTCCTACAATTCAATTAAATTCTGACACTAATTACCCAAGATTAGCATAGACCCAAGTTGAAGGCTCAGTCCCACAAGACTGCCCCCACTTCAGATGCCAGTCACAAGTCTGGCATAGTTGATAGTTTGCTAGAACAACTCACAGAACTCAGGAAGGCACTACTAATACAGATTTCTTATAACGGATATAACTCAGGGGCTGGTCAGTTAGCTCAGGTGGTGGGAGGGCAGCGTCCCAGTACATAGATGTGTTCACCAACCCAGATGCTTCCTGAGCCTCATTGTTCAAGGTTTTTATCAAGATTTTATTAAATCAATGATTGATTAAATCACTGGCCATTGGTGATTGAACTCAGTCTCCTGTTTCTCTCCCCTCCCTGAGGTGAAGCATCTGAGGCTGAAGTTCCAACCCTGTAATCATGTAGTTGGTCCCTCTGGCAACCAGCTGCCATCTTGAAGTTTTCTAAAGACCCACCAACGCTTATCTCATTAGTGTATACAGTCACGCATTGCTTAATGATGGGGACATGTTCTGAGAAACATGTCATTAGGAGATTTTGTCATTGTGAGAACATCATAGAGTATGCTTATGCAAACCTGGATGGTGTAGGCATTATAATCTTATGGGACCACCATTGTGTGTGACACGTGACTACTCAGGTATGGTTGAGAGGGGCTCATTATGAATAACAAAAGACACTTCCGTCACTCATGAAATTCCTAGGGTTTTACGAGCCAGAACAAAGACCAAATATATATTTTCTTTCTTTCTTTTTTTTTTTTTTTTTAAAGATGACCGATAAGGGGATCTTAACCCTTGACTTGGTGTTGTCAGCACCACGCTCAGCCAGTGAGCAAACCAGCCATCCCTATATGGGATCCGAACCCGTGGCTTTGGTGTTATCAGCACCACATTCTCCCTAGTGAGCCATCGGCTGGCCCTAAATATATATTTTCTTATACCACAGTTAATACACCATATTAATAGAATAAAAGACAAAAATTACATGATCGTTTCACAAGACACAGAAAAAGCACTTGACAAAACAACATCCATTCATGATGAGAAATAAAAGATAAACACCTCTCAATAAAGTAGGAATAGAGAACTTCAACCTAATAGGGGCATCTATTAGGTTAACATCATGCTTAAGGTGAAAGACTGAATGCTTTTTCCCTAAGATCAGGAACAAGGCAAGATAGATACTTTTACCACTTTTTTCTTAGGACCAAAAAGGCAGCACCTGGATTGCAAAAGAAATAAGACTGTTAATTGCAGGTGACATAATCTTGTATGTAAATAATCCTAAGAATCCACACACACAAAAAACCTAGAACTAATGAGTTCAGCATTTCTTGTATTTTGAGAACTACAAAACATTGCTGAGAGAAATTAAAGAAGATCTAAATAAAGAAGATCTAAAGAGACATTTAATGTTCATGGGTTGAAAGACTCAATATTGTCAAGATAGCAATTCTGACCTCATTTATTTATAAATTCAAGGCAATCCCAGCAGGATATTTTTTGGAGAAATTGACAAATTGACCTTCCAATTTACAGGAAAATCCAAAGGACCTGGAATAGGCAAAACAATTTTGAAGAAGAACAAGTTTGGAGGACTCACTTTTTTATTCTAAAACTTACTATGAAAGCACAATAATTTACACAGTGCAGTGTTGACACAAGGATAGATCAATGGAAAAGAATTGAGCAGAAATTCTTGGGCCGGCCCGGTGGCACACTGCTACAGTGCGCTGCTTGGGAGCGTGGCGGCGCTCCCGCTGAGGGTTCGGATCCCACATACAGACCGGTTCCCGCTCACTGGCTGAGCGAGGTGCGGGCACAACGCCGAGGGTTGCGGTCCCGTTGCTGGTCCCGGTCCGGTATGGGCGCAACA